TAATTGAGAATTACTTTACGTTTAGAAATAAGGCCGTGAAATATTAGATACCAATGATATAGATATGTTGCTTAAAGTTGTATCATGTTTGTTGTCGCAATATTTGATATTCGGAAAAAAAGAAAAAAAAAACAATTCGATAGCTACCTACTATACAATGCTTATATTCACTACTATATTTTTACTTAAATAAAACCACCATAAGGTTGTAGACTATTAGGTTTGAGCCTCAGATTTCTGTATCTGTTTCGAAATCATTTGTTTTTTCGAATAGTCAGTGGTCATACGCCGAGTCTAAGGTTTATTCACGATGTTTTCCTTCTCGTACGAGCGATTGTTAAATGCGCACATAAAAAGTTCATCGGCACGGCTGGTGATAGAATCTACGACCTCAGTGATGAGAGTCGCACGCTGAAACCACTAGGCTAATTCACTTAAATATTCATGTTTATAAAACAGTAATAAACGCGTTCTAGCCTATAGATCTTCTAAATATCTAAATACCTATCATCAAATTTTCGATCGGATATAACATTTGTTTATTATTCTAGGGTATGTAAAAATTAATCATTCTTAGCAGCGTGTATATATAGGACGTAGTTACTATAGTCTACTTTTGGTTTACTAAGCAAAGAAATAAAAGACAAAATAGTGCAGTGCGGTCGATATATTTTAGTAAAAAATATAGCCGTAATAATATATCTACCTACTGTTTCAATACGACGATAGGAATATTTCAGTAAATATATCTGCCTTTTTACCATATAAGTCGTGACACAAAAAGCAATTTGCACTATTAATTACAAGCTTCACCTATTTGTATCCTTTTAAGAATATGTAATAAAAGCGAAGACAAAAAATACAGAACAATGCTCAATAAAATTACAGCATTAAACCTAATTAATTTTCGAAGCATGAAGACTTACAAACTATCTTTATCCCATTCGACTATCAGCAAACTCACGTCGGTTTAAATGATATTTAAAGAAAACAAAATATAAATATGATTAGCGAATATATCTTCCAAATTCAATAATGTATGAAACTTTGCTATAGTGCTAATCCCTAGGTACATTTTAGATACCATAGTACCTATTTCATATCATCTTTTATACATTAATATTTTTCTATGTGTAAAACAATACTGGAGGTGTCATACAATATGTATACACAAGAATATATCATGAAACAAAAGACAATATTATCTATTGACCCCCAATTAGAACGCCTCGTATTTACAATTTGTCATTTGCCAATAATTCATCATGACAGGTTGTTGACAGATGACAGTCAGATTTAATGTTATAGTCTAAGTGACGCCTCTGTTATCTATGCCAACTTGTAAACATTGTTTACTTCTTAGTTTCTGCAATAATTCAAAGCAAATTAATTATGCTTGCGTACATTTACTAGGCTTCTACGTTCTATATTTACCAATTATTCTATTTTTCGCGGATTATCTATTCGTTGCGACTTGCGAAAACATGAAGATTAGTTACGAAATTTCCGAACTCTTCCCCTATTACCCATGTTTGTTTTGGATTCGGGAACTTTTGATTGTACTAATAAAACATTACCGTTTTTTCAATATATGATAAAATATTATGACAAGCGAAACAATCGAAGGCTTCATAGAAAATATAAATTTATTATGAGATTATTTTTATGAACCATAAATTATTAAATATAAATAGATAGTAGTCTTCTTGTTACATTGTTGCAGTAATTAATTTACTTACGTCCATGCTATGATTAACAAACGTTTCATTTAATTGTTTATCTATAAGGGTAACCTTGGTTTTACTTGCAGGCTTGGAATTGTGTTAATAACTATTTAAATAAATAAAATACAAATTTCATTGAAAATAATTGATAGGTACATTAAGAACTTGTAGTTTTCACTTTGGAAAATAATACGAATTTAAAAATCAAGCAGTTTATAGATAAGATTTAAAAATAACTTTATAACATGAAAGGTTTTTTTACGTATAGGTACCTAATGTATTTTTTCAAAATGCATTAGCTATACTAATATCACGGATATACCTATATCTTTCAGGAAGTCTCAAAGAAAATATTTAGTCTAGCGCAGATGATACTTAGGCAAAATGGGTAACACCAATTCATTAATTTAATGAAAAAATAACTTCATCGGTAACTACTTTAAATATACACGAATGAGTACCTACTACTGTAAGTAAAGATTTTTTCTTAATGTTAACACTATAATAATTTACAAAAATAACTTAATAAAATCTATTTTTTAAGACAGCTTTTTATTACCTCAGTAGGTACCACAAACAAAACTAAACAAAATAGTTTTTATAAGCAAAAAGATTTTAGACAAGTAACAAAAATCGACTACGGTTTTCTTCCAACTTGTTTTCTTTTTTCAAATTTCCCGCGCTTTGATGTTTCAAGTGTCACCCTTGAAATTTTGGCAACCCTTGGTTCCCACGTTTGAATACTTTGAAAACAGTTCGTATTGTTTTTTTCAGTTTCCATGCTACAGTAATTTTTGAAACAAGGTTATTATCTTGTTTTTAGTTTATTTATCTGTAAGTTCCCAATTAAGATACGCAAGTTTTAAGTAAACATCGGTACGTTACGTAATAATTAATGAGCAATTAATTGATATTCTTTAATTAAACTGATTTATAAGGTACATGACTTTTGTACATTTTATAATTAATTAATTGTGTATTTATATCTAGTTAGATTATTTCTTATCTATTTATCTATTTACCTACTTAAACATTGCATACATAATTTGTGTATTTTTTTCTCGTGTAGATCTTAATATTTTTTGTTAGAAAACAAGACGTCATCATTTCAGCTGCATTTTTTTATTTAAAGGCAATTGACATATAATTAATTGTCAGAAAAAAATATAATTATTATGTCAATAGCTTTGCAAATAAAGAGTGTCCTGTCACAGCTTCGGCCTTTTCTAATGTTTATATTATGTTCTATTATACAGCATTTTAATTATAGTTTTTAGGCGCTCTAACATTGACTCCCGTAGGGTATGTCCAAACCCTATATTTTTTTGATTTCTCGTGAAATACGACACTGTTGTTGAAGCTGGGTCATCTGTTTGATAATAATTTTATTAGATACAATAATAAACTAAGTAAATTATTACCTATAGGTATATTATATTCGATTTTTTATATAGATACTAAATTATTATTATTTTGTTTAGATTACAACTGGTTTATGCAATTCCTAATGATAATTGGATAATACACACATGGTATTTAACATTTTTCTTCACAATGTTAATCATAGCAAATTGAAAATAAATATATTGTCAGCTGTTGGCTATTTTAAACCTACTTCACTATAAGAAGAAATTATACCTCAGATTAGCGTTGAAATTGTATGGTTTATAAAAATCGCTGTATTAAACAACTAAAACTGTATCTTAACAATCGTCATACAATATAAGATTATTTTTTGTATTCATTCTTTACTTTAGTATTTATACTCCAACTTTCACACATAATAATATATACTTGCACCATTCCTATTAATTCTTGGACAGTAATTCTAAGTGAGGTTCATAGGCATATATCACCTTCTAAATGTGTAAAGAATTTAGCGTCGGCTTTCCAAGTTACAATTAAAGGTAACGATAGTTAGTAATAATTATGCAATGGTTTCGATTTTCAAGTTTTTAGCTATATTAAGCTGTAGAATTGGTTTGATAATATTTATCTCGGGACATATTTAGAATTATTTTTGTATTATCTAGCTTTAGAATAAACTCAAGTTTGTTACAGATAATATCGCTTATAGTTTCTCAGTGGTACAACATTAAGATCAAAATGGAGGAAATACGAAACAAAGTTTAATTTGTATGGATACTTAAATGAAACCTAATAAATCACAGAAATGTCTGCCCCATAGGAGAGTTTATAGTTCAAACGACTTTCTTTAAACAGGCTGTGTTCTTTCAAGTTCGGCTGGAAGGGAGTTTTATTTCTGACAAATAAATACTTGTTTAGGATAATATACAGAAAGAAATTATCAGTTGATCGTCTTGGCCCATCAACAGATTTAAATAATAAAGTATTTAAATATACGAAATTTCAGTTCAGTTCTACAGTTTTTCTAAGTCACAGTTACAGAAAGTGGACGGTTTTTCATTCTTTATTGTCATTAAATGTATTTCCTATAAGATTACTATTTTCCAATAGGATCGATTTGATCTTTTTAAACAACTTAAATTTAACTAGACAATTTTTAAGAAGCAGCCATACACAACTTAATAATACAAGTTTTATTGGTCAGAGAAATACTATTATTTTTTTCTAAATAACATTATTATTTTAAAAAAAAACTATAATTTTGTAAGGCATTTTTACCATATCAGGCTTGCTGTGTAATTTAATGCTATGTAATAGGTACATACAGTGTTGTCTTTTTAATAGTGCGTGACAGATTGCAACTCCCGTCGGTTAGCGAAAAAATGCGCCTATAAACATGACAAGAGTCTTTTAATACGACACACGATTTAATTGCAATTATTTTCAATATTTATAATTGTTTAGTTAATTTTTATTACACATTTGTAAGAAAAATCTATTTTAATGACTATAGATTTTATGTTTCAACAGCATTCTTAGGCGTTTTAATAATATATGTACCTAATTGCTCAAAAACAAAGAACTTTAGTTACCTAAATGACTAAACTACGTTCCTTTATAACATAACTATTATTAGCATTGAAAGTTTAAGAGATTAAGCACTTAATTAATCGGAATGTAATAGAGTTATGCTTCCTTTCAAGACCCAAAACAAGATGAGATATGTGTAATTTATTGCAGAGACCGGTTTAGCCGGTTACCAATTTATAAATAGGCTGTTTTATTTTGATTTAGACGTTAAGACGATAGTGTTGAATAGATGCAATAGCTGGTGTTTTCCTACTAATCCTAATGTATGTGTAATTCATTGGATTGTTTTTGTAAACAACTCCACGCGTCCTACTTTATCTACAAACATCGTTCTAGACGGCTAGGCACACATCTACATCGAATCGACTTACCGCTATGACCGTAACGCATGAAGATCGTAAACTGGACACACACTACACTCAGATCACGTAAGACATCGTGCTGGAGGTACGCACAGATACGAGCGACGACAGCGCAGCGGACCCGTACTGACCTGCCACTTTTGGTGATCACCATTTCGGTGCCGAGCTTGTGAAACTTCTCCCAGAGGTCCTTGCCTTCGAGGGTCACTTTGGGGTCGTCGACGACGCCGTCGTCGTCGGGAGGCAGCGGTGCGTAAGGCGGCGGCGGCGGCTTGAGCAGCGGACAAGGTCCGGACAGCGCGGCGGCGGCGGCCAGCGCCGCGGGAAGATATGGTGGCGGTGGCAGTGCCCCTGCCGTCAGCAGGGCAGACACCGAGAAGTCGCTCGGGCGCGGCGCCAGCAGCGGATGGAAGGCAACGGCGTCGCGCCGTTCCGCGCCCTCGAAGCGCATGCCCGCGCCGCCCGGGGCCCACGGCGAGCGCTCCACGGCCGGCGTGCCCGTCGGCTCCAGCGGTCGCACTCGCGCCCGCTCATGCAACGTCCATAACGCGCTCTGGCCCGCGCGTATACACTCGCGGCGCGACTGTGACACGTTCCAGGCGACTGGCGACACCCGCTCGCGCGGCAGGCGTCAAACGACTGGCCGCCGGCGGCGCCGGCTCCGACACCCCTCCCGCCGCGGCCAATGGCGCGGCGCGGCCCCCCGCCCGCTGCCCTCGCCCCGGCGGGCGGGGCCGCGGCGCCGCGCGCCTTGTTTTTTCGTCGCGGTGAGGTGTCCGCCGCCGCCACACCTCGCGTCCGTTCGTCGTCGTACGCACTGAGCCGCACGATCTCGCACGACACAACACGGACGCACGCTCCTTCAATCAGTTTTCTCTCAACGTTTTTAGCCTTACGTTTTACTTACATTATCTTTACCATACTACAAATATTTTATTATTCGTCTATTAGGCACCGGTGAGTAGTATCGTATCTTGAGAATTGAAATTTGTTCATTATTCTTTGGCACCAAAACCAAATAAATTAAAAATATAGGTAGTAAATGTTACAAATAATGAAGTGTTTATTAAAGTTTTTTAGTATTTTTTGTTTAGTGAAAAACCTGAAAATTATAGAAAGGCATTCTTTTTGTCAGTGTTTCCCACATGGATTAGCTATGATGAACACCTCAGAATGGTCACTATGCTCAGAGAGCCACAAGCGCAGTAAGAGCAGGCCGCGCCGCTCACGGCCTAGCCTGTCTAATTGGCCACGTTTCCGTTCGTTCATCAATTGTGCTCGTTAGGCGATATCTTTTGTGCGGCCCTCCTCAATCCGCACACTCTCGCGACCTCCTACCGCATTCTACCTCGTAGCTCCTACACGGTTCTTGCCAATTGCTACGGCTACAAAAACTCGCTATAAAACTGAAATAATTCCTCCCGCTGGGTTACAACACTCAACGTTACAACGTTAGATTTTTGTTCTTATAATAGCGAACCTACTTTATATGGTGAGTTATATAGGAAGGCAAATGCGTACCTACTTTTGTTATTGAATAATAAGTTTTACGATAGTAAGAACGCAGTCATCAATAAATATTTAGCTATTTTATATAAACATAAATAAATACCTTATTTACTTGTTTAAGAGATTTAATATTCTATTTGTCAATTGTTTTTTTACAACTTACGAATCCTAGATACATTATTTGATAGATAGGTATATATTACCTATTGGGGCGGCACCGTTTTAATATTTTTATATGTACGTCTATTTGTCCCAATTTTTTTTTGCTATATAAAAAACATATTTATTTAAAACACGAAACTTCTGATCTTTTTTAAATGTTTTTGTTTTGCATTCTATTTTTGTAATGTCTCTATACCTACTGACCTCTGTGTATGAACGAATTATTATAGACTTATGAATAAAGAAATAAAGAAATAAAGAAAGAGAGTGACGGAGAGTTTATTATTATAATAATACATAACAAATTAATCCGGTTAAAAAGTTTTTTCTTTAAATGTGTAAAGGTTATGTCAATAAAAGACAATACTATAGTTTATTGCCAGTTCTTCTCGTCCGGTCTACACCCTTGATTTGAGAACTGGCAGTAAATGTAAAATTAGAAGCATTTAATATTTATTTCTTCATTGACGTTCATAGGTGTACATTGTGTTACCTAAATGAATAAATTATTTTGAATTTGATTACCTAGACTATTTGAAATATAATTTAATGAATAGGTATAGGTAATATGCGACCTTATCGACATATTGGTATAAATAGATTCAAAAACGAAAATATCCATGTATAGCGTAACAATTATTTATACTTAATAAAAAGCCGACTGTAGCGATGGCAGAAAATATAAAGCGTACCTAATCGTTTTTAAACCGACTTCGAAAAAAGCGAAAGAGAACTTGTGCTTTCGATAGTAATTATATTTTCAATAAACGATATTAACTTAATGAACGATTCTGAGTCTGTGAATCCCTTATAGGTAATTATTAATTCTCAGCGATTCTACTTTGATACTATACTCAAGATTTATTTAATTATATATGGACCGAGGTCTTGAAAGGTTTATGAGCTAAATTAAAATGCATCCAAATTTATGCATGAATTAGTGTTGAGATAAATATTACTTATTACTAATACCATTAGCAAGGTTCCACTAAAAGCGTTATAATTTATAAAATAATTATACCTACTAAACGCAACATTCAAATGTCAGTCAATCATTTTTATTTTTACTCATTTCTTACGTATAACTATTGCCGTTTAACCCTTTATGACGCTTTTATTATTTATACTTATTATGAGATATACCTACCTATTACCCTATATATACCCAAAACATCTGGTATTATGTAATAAAACAAATACTTGTTCATAAACTCTAATCAAAATAATAATCTTAAAAATTAGTTTTTTATAGGCTTTTTCTGGTTACGCTGTAAGTATTATATATGTATTTTTTCGTAGTTTAAGGTACGATAATATTAGCTATGAATAACATTTATTGAAAAGTTAAAAAATAATAGATTTTAAATATATAAGTAGTAGCACTTAAATTCTCTAAACTTCCTGTCATACTGTGTTCACTTTGTGTTTCCACCACACCAACTTATTTTCTATTTAAGATCATGTATATATAATAAATAAAATTTACCTGTTTCTTCAGACTTGGAAATTTTACATTTTAAAAGTTTTCGTATCTGTGGCTCATTGTCAAGTAATAAACAGATTATGTAAAAATTAAGTAATGAAAACTGTTTCCTAGTAGACTAGTAACATTATTTTAAAGCGCCATCTCTTAGCGAGTAGAATTAAAATATCTGTTAGATATCAGATATTCTATAAGACATACAAGAATGTCATTATGTGAATCATTTCATACAAATTTACAAATATATCAAAGGAAAAAACATAGTTAACAAGTCAAGTGAGTTATTTGATTCATAATTCGATTAAAAAGTGTAATTCTGGTAACTCGGCATATTTAAGCATCATCATTGATTAATCGCATCCTTTCATGAAATATATATAAAGCCAAAATGTTTGTATGTTTGAACACACTTATCTCTCAAATGCTGGTTTAAATTGGAAAATTATTTTGTGACGAATAGATATGGGAAAAGCTTTTGGCTACGAATTAACACCGGGAAACTGCAGAATATGAGTGTTTTCATTTATAAAAAAATAGTTACATAACATTTAGAAATTTCATAGTTTCATATCTTTGAAATGGATCCTTCAAAAATATTTAAAAAATCATTGCAAAATGATAAAATTCATTGTAAATTTCGAGTTTCAAAAGGCTTGTTCATGAATCACGCAGGATAAATGATTACAGATACATATTAATATAGAAGTACGAAACAGAGGTGGAAAGTCAAGAAAAAGTTGCAATTTGAATTGATAAGACTATTCTTTTCTTTACGTTAAGTTAACATAGTAACACTCGCAAAATAAATGAGTAAAGACAAACAGACAATAATTATAATAATTATTAAAAATGCATAGCGTAGCGAGTAACTTACAAGAAACAATTTAACGATATAAGTAGGTACATTAACTGATAGTCCGTCGGATCTTTTCAGGAGGCTCGCCTGAAGCTACGTTGTAACGGCGTCCGTAGCCAAGATATTGGCGAGTGCGTTGGCGACCTTTAAGAATTGCTATGCTTCATTCTTGAACTATCGTCTTTAATCGAAACTACCTTGACGAGTGGTGGGCGAGTGTGTAAGTTCAGCTATGGAGTAAGGCAATGCCTGGTAATGTGGAATAATTCGATAGGGTTATTTTTTAAATCAATATGGTATTTAATATTGAGCAGTGTTGGACTAGTGGCTTCAGCATGCGACTCCCATACCTGAGGTCTTAGGTTCGATCCCCAGCTGTGCACCAATGGACTTACTTTCTATGTGCGCATTTAACATTTGCTCGAACGTTGAAGGAAAACATCGTGAGGAAACCGACATGTTTTACCAAAAAGTCGACGGCGTGTGTCAGGCACTGGAGGCTGATCACCTTCTTTAGATTTAAAAATGATCATGAAGCAGATTCAGAAATCTAAGGCCAAGATCTAAAGAGGTTGTAGCGCCACCGATTTATTTTTTTATTTATTTAATAAAGGTATTTGTTGGTTATTTTGGACCTCGCTCAAATTTAGTAAGTACGATATAAATAGATTAGGTAAATCAATTAATAATTTCATGAAACGCTACATTTATAAGTAATTGAAGACCAAAACACTTTAAATCAGACACCTTCCCCATCTTAAAACCGAGTTTCCTTGAGCACTTAATATCATCCACCCTCTTTAGAGACATGGAACCTTGTCATACGAAGCCTACAATACAGGAATACTCTCTTGTCAAAAGTAACCGTTTTCTTCGACAGAGTTCTAATAATTTGAAAGGATGTATTGAGCGGTTTTTGAGACGACAAAATTATTGAATATTTTCTCATCAAAAGGAAATGCGGTAAGCGAAGATTTTATTTAAATTTCGAGGGTTGTTCCCAATTGAACCATAGGTATTACTGGTTGTGTTGAGTTCGTATTATCATAATGATTTGTAACTTAGTAAAAATTCCTTAAAACTACCTTTAGTGAATCGAAGTATCTAAATTTTGTCTTTACGTTTTTCTTATAATATTTGAAATAAAACTATAACTGTCCTAATGTTTAGTAGTTATCACCTTCTAGGATTTATAAGCTTGTTTGATTTATCGAGGTTATATCACTAACTGCTATTGAAAAAAATTGTGTTGTACATTGAAGGAAATATTACCATTGAATTAACACAGGTACAGATATAATAATTGTGTTAAACGCAGTGAGAGAGTTCTTAAAAATATTTACAGAAAAATATTTCGGTACGAAGACCTTCTTCATAAATCACCAATCAATTGTGTAGTATAGATCTAACAGACGACGGAGGATTATATTTAGTAACTACA